ATTATGTGTTTCTTTGCTATTAGTTGTTTGAGCTCTTTATATATTCTGATTATTAATCCCTTTTTCAGATGGATAGTTTGAAAATATTTTCTCTTATTCTATGGGTTGTTTCTTCATTTTGTCAACTATTTCTTTTGCTCTGATAAAGATTTTTAGTTTGATGTAATCCAAATTGTCTATTTTTGCTTTGGCTGCCTGTGCTTTTGAGGTCTTATATAAAAAAAATCTTTGCCCAAATCAATGTCCTGGAGCATTTTCCCAATATTTTCTGCTAGTAGTTTTATAGTTTTAGGTCTTAGATTTGAGTCTTTAATCCTTTTTGATTTGAATTTTGTATATGCTAAGAGATAGGAGTCTAGTTTTATTCTTCTGCATATAGTTATCTATTTTTCTCAGCACCATTTATTGAAAATCTATTCTTTCTCCAATTATATATACTTGTCAAAGATGAGTTGGTTGTAAATATATAGATTTATAAGTGGATTCTCTATTCAGTTTCATTGGTCTGTGTGTCTAGTTTTATACCAGTATCATGTTGTTTTGGTTACTATAGCTTTGCAGTAAATTTTGAAATCAGGTAATATGATGTATCCAGCTTTGTTCCTTCTGCTCAGGATTGCTTTGGTTATTTGGGCTCTTTGTGGTTTATATAAATTTTATGATTTTTTAAATTTCTGTGAAGGATGACATTGATATTTTGACATAGATTATATGGATAATTGCTTTGCATAGTATTTCCAATTTAACAATATTAATTCTTCCAATCCATGAGCATGGAATATCTTTCCATTTTTTTGTGTCTTCTACTTCTTTCATCACAATTTTAATTGTCCTTGCATAGATCTTTTACTTCTTCGATTAGATTGATTCCTAGTCATTTTTTAATTTTTTTGTAGATATTGTAAGTGGGATTGCTTTCTTAATTTCTTTTTCATATTGTTCATTGTTGATGTATATAAATGCTACTGATTTTTGTATGTTGATTTTGTATCCTGCAACTTTATGGAGTGGCATTTTTAGAATGCTGCTTATTGCAGGATGTCTTTTAAGTATATAGCTTGGAACATAAATACATGGACATTGGAGCCAGACTGTTTACATTCAAATCCTGGCCCCAATATTTACTAGCATTACAAACTTGAGCAAGTTTACTTAACCTCTCAGTTCTTCAATTTTCTTATCTGAAAAATGGGATAATAAACATATGGTTTTATTGAATCATTTAAACATTTATATCAGTTATGTGCCAGAAAAGAACCTGGTACATTGTAAGTAGTATATTGGTCTTTATTATTATTATTGATCTCATTATTATAATCTATCAGTTTAGAGTTCAGATTACTCTTCTCCTTGTGGCAGATATGAAGAGACTTTTCTGGGCATCAGCTTGTCTGTACATTTTAGTATTATTTAACCGTCAAAAATATAATTTATATCTTAGTCTATTGGGGCTACTATATAACAAAATATCATAACCTGAGTGACTTATAAACAACAGAAATTTATTTCTTATGCTTCTGGAGGCTGGGAAGTCTACAATCAAGGCACTGGCAGATTTGATGATATCTGGTGAGGGCTTTCTTCTTGGTTCTTACTGCCTTCTAGCTATGCCCTAACAAGACGGAAGGGACAAGGTATAGCTTTTATAAGGGAACTGATAAAAGTCAGGGACTTTTTTAAAAAGGTATTCATGAGCACTCCACCTTCATGACCTAATCACCTCACAATGGTTCCATCTCCTAATACCATTGCACTGGTGACTAAGTTTCAACATATATATTTGGGGAGGACACAAACATTTAGATAATAGCAATTTATAATGCAAAGGATACATTTGAAAAAATTTAAAAGTTTCTAACTCACAGGAAACACCGAAGGAAGGATTTGTTTACATAAAAATTATGTTTAGTTTATAGGTTTATTTTTTTTTAAGTGAGGGAAACATAGCAGGTTTATTTACCTGAATTATAAACTTCAGAATAGAAGTATGGAACCTTTCTTAGTACAATACCCATTTTTAAAATGGCCTTTAATTTCATGTTATGACCAAGAGAAAAAAGGATTTGAAAAGATGGGAACAGGAAGCTTAGGGAAGGACATAGAGGGTAAAAGGAGACTGAAGGAAAGGTAGTTGGAATGAGAGGAAAGAAAATAAAGAAAAAGAGAAAGAAACAGAAGAAAGAGGAGAGGAAGGACTGCTGAGAGGAAGAGAGGATAGGTAGGGAGAAAGGAGAAAATGTTGGCAAAATGTATTGACCACCTGGCATAACTAAGAACTTGGCTTATCTCACCTAAGAACCTTTCAGTGAAGTACATATTATTGCTACCATTTTATAGATTAGAAAACAGCAACTAAAAGAGTTTAACTTGTCTAAGGTCAGTTATGTTAATAAACAGACATTAGAACCTATAATTTTCCAGAGCTCATTGTAACATCCTGGCTCCATGTCCTTAAGGACTAATGGTAAGATAAAAAGTACTTCTTATAGCTTGTTGGCACAACCTCAAACAGTGTTCATGTCATACTGAGAGAAGACTTAGTTGGGCTTAGTTGAGGCTTAGGTGTTACTATCTCTTAATACTACCTTAGAATCTTCATTATTTGAGTCAAGACATTTGGACTCTAGATAAAGAGGATCCTCAAATGATTTATGTCTCAGGAGAAATCATTCTTCTGAGCCACAGTATACTCCTCTGTGAAATATAGGCGTTGGACTAGATCAACTATCAAATTCTGAAAATCAATGCTTAATGTCATGCTGCCAATTTTCAATCAATTGTTATTTATGAACTCTTAGATGTCCTCCAGCCATTTGAGTTCATGGCAGGAAGCAGTGATGGGAGGAACACTCTCAGTGGTAGTAGCAAGTATCTATCAAAATGAAGTAGGCATGGGGCTGCAAAGAATATAAGCACCATCAGGGGTGCCATTTTCCATTCTTAACTGTAGGGCAAGCATGTAACGTGAAGTCTGTTCTATCTTAAGCTTAGGGCCAGAATCTGGTTAAGGGGTAGAGATTCCTCCACTTGCAGGTAAAGAATTGGTTCAACATTATGATTATGGCCTGCCGATTTCTAAATTATCCCTGAACAAAGCTTTTTCTAAACTTTTAAAATGGAGTTTCTCGAGGGTCTAATGTTGGCAAACATAATCCCCACCATGACTCATAGAATTACACAGAGTCAATTTCAAACCTTTCACTCTAGCATGGATATTTCCTCACTCAGAAATTAGTTTAATTAATTCAGCTTGAAAATTCTATTGTTATAAACCTTATAATTCCTGTGGGAGTGTCTTTTTTTTATTATTATTGATAAAAGTTGTAGATGTACCTGAAAAAAAATGTGATTCTCTTCTACAACCTGAAAAGATGCAGCTGTCAAATGTAATCGTTTATCAGAACAACAAAAGTGTCTTTGGCTGCCTTATGAGAAAAATAGCAAAGTAGCTTATTTATGCTCAATGATAAAACAGACTTAGGAAAAGCCATAAAGTTTACATTTCTGCTACTTAGGTCACATTCCTCAATGTGGCTCCATATAAGCTGAAGTCATTCTTACCTATAGGACTTCACTTGTGCTATTTGAAAAGACTCTCTTCTTGATCAAACTGGAGTCAGATTTCTCTGGGCCCTGTTCTCCACTAGGCCTCAGTCGTGGGCTCTTTCCTTGGCCCACTTAGTCTAGTTTTAGCAAGAATCTTGCTGAATCAGTTTGCCAAAATTCCCTCATCTTTGGAATCTGATCAAATTTCTCATCCTCTATCCTCTATAGAGCTTATCACCCTGGTCTGCCTTTAATAAGAATCCCACCATGACCAGAATCCCCCCCTTTTTCTCTTAGTCATTTCCCATCCACTGATATCCCAACTTGTCCTTGTTGTATGCAGAGTTAAACCCAATCTCTCTCCCCTTCTGCAAAACCCCCATTGCAGTAATCCCTCTTGAATAAACTTTCTTATAGTCTTTAAGAAGTATCATGAATAATTTTTCCTTAACTCTCTATCTTCCGTCCCACATTAATTTTTCCATCTTCCTCTTCTCCACTTTATTCATTTATTTATTCAAAAACATATTCATTCAGAAAGAATTTATTGAGTCACTTATACATAGATAACTGTTTGGCCTGACAGGATTACAGCCTAATAGGGGTGCTAACATGACATTAGGCCATGTTATTCTCCCCAAGAAGATCTCCTCTATTTTTTTCCAACTCATAATTTCTTTTTAGCTAGTATTTTGATTTCATAACATTTTATGTTATTTACTAATTGCCCTATGTGGGTGCCTCTTCTTTTCCAAAATTATCCTTAGTTCTTTAAGAGAATGATCTGGCTCAAGCAGCTACCACTCTCCATCATAGAGCAGTATGTGGCTCCACTCCACCCACTTAAATTTACCATGTGTTCTTCATCCAAGTCAAGCTGGTTTCTCTCTTCTCTGGGACAACTTGCTCTTTCCTTGTGTTCCCACTCACATTTGTAGGGTTAGTGAAATCTTAATTATTCTTTAAGATCCAGACTGAAATCTTTCTGCAGAATGATTTTTTTTAGACTCTCTCTCACTCTCCATAAATGCTAGAGAAAACCTTATAAATGGTTGCTGAATCCATGAATACATACAGTGTCTATAACATTGCGTTATTGCTAATGCTGTTTATAATGCATTGTTTCTATACAATATATTATTTTCTCATTAGTTCATTTTACTCTTTTCAACTAGATTGAAGCTGCCATGTAAACAAAAGATGTATCTGAACCCCTTCTTATAGTGCCTGGGCTAGTGTTGAATGTAGTATCCATCAATAAACAGAAATCAAACACTAGTTGAAATTCAATAAGTACCAAGAGATCTGCAAAGTCATTACAGAAATCTGGCTCTAATGACCTTCTCTTTTAAGTACAGAACTTTTATAGAATTATTATTCTCTAAAGGTACAAATATGTCTCATTAATGCAGCAGATTTACTTTCAAAATAATTCTAACATTTCAGATCTTTACCTGAGTCTGCCATCCTCCGCTGCAGCACCTCCTGGTATAATCTTCGTAATAAATATGCCAGGATCATCTCCAATGTGGGGATTATCTGTCCCTCCAGCAATACTGAATCCCAGGCCAGAATTCCCCTGTAGAAACAATAAGCAGATATTAAATGATGTGGCTGTCACCTAAAACCTAGTTCTTTTTGCACTCTGCATTATCGTTACTACTCAAATGGAAATCAGGTGATAACAGTCTTGTATTCAAAGCCATAAAGTGCACAGTCAGCAGTCAAAGGAAGGACAGGAAAAACACTCAAGTTTGTCCCTGCACTGCAAGAATTCAAGAGGCATTACATTTTTGCTTTTAACAAATGATTCTCTTTTGAAATCAATTTATGATTAAAATGATCATTATGAAGTAGGAGGTAAAAGCTTAGAAATTATATAATATGAAAAAATGCAAAAAGTCATAGAGTATTAGTTGTAAAAATTATACATTCATATGAAAAAGAATAGAAAGAAACAAGTTACAGGAAAATATTTGATTTGATAGAATAGTGAAAATTGGGTGTTTTCATTTTGTTATTTCTGGTCTCATTCTAATGTCACTTATTCATCAAATAAATGTATTCCTTTGTAACAGGGACTTCTGACTTCAGAAGGCAGGGTTCTCTTCTAGAGTCATAAAACATGAGAGATACTTTTTAACAATAAACAGGCTTTAATTTGCAGTAGCAATGGAAAAGGCATGTAATACTGCCGCACATAAATTTGAGTAGTTTTTTTTTTTTAGTTTATGTTCTAATAAAGCTTTCACATTTACTCCTATAGATTATAAGTGACATCTAATATATACATATATCCTTCTAAAATTTATATGTAAAGCATAATTAAAAGTGCCCCCAAATCCACAAACCATATTACTTGATGTATTTTTTATTTATATATTCTCTTTTAATCCCCATCTCCATGGCTATGTTGTTTCCATAGTTGTGTTCTAATTTTTTTAATTCACATTATGTTTTAAGCCCTTTCTGTGTAGCTAGACAGTCTTTATAATTATCCATCTTAAACAGCTAAATAATGTTTCCTCAAGGTCATATACCATCACTTATTTAACCAGTCCCCTGTCACTGGATATTTAATTTCTCCATATACTATTACAACAAATATAGCTTTCTAAATTTATGATCACTTGATTAAGTTCCACTCTTGGGTAAAAAGAGATGAGGACGAAGAATTTAGCACTTAATCCAGAGAAATTAATTAGGACACTCAATTAGTCAGAAAAGTTCAATGTCAAGATAAGATCAGCTATAACTTGATAGTTACACTGCTCCAAATGTCAAGGTAAGATTTAGCAATTTTTATTGTCTGAATTAATAAAACTGAATTACAGAGGGTTGTTTTCACAATTGTACATTTAAGTTGAAAGGTTGAAATGAATAATTTATCCATGGCAACTAAAATCACATGTCTTTATACTTCTGAAATATTTTCTAATTCTGCTTGCTCTTTGGAAAACTCCAATGTTCTTTAGAGATGTTAGTTATTAGCAGTCATGTAATCATAAGTTTATTTAATATTTATTAAATACCAGTTCTGTGCCTCACACTAGACTAAGCTCTAGAGCTATAGCAGTATATATGTCAGTTTATGCGGCATATGAAGGAGAAGTATGAAGTGTAGGAGTAGCTAGGAGGAGAACCAAACTTACTGACTGAGTGGCATAGTAACCTAGAAGGAAGAACTCATATAAAATCACTGAGGCAAGAAAGGGTATGCCAGGTCCAAGAAATGGACAATAAATTTGGAACAAAGAAAAAAAGAAAGAGAATTAGATGGGATGAGTCTTAATCATGAGGTTCATGAGAGCAGAGTATATAAGAATCCCATTTGGGGTTTTAAGTATCTATTGCTACCAAATGACTGCATAGGTATTAGTTGAGTATGTCACATTTGACTGACTCTAAGGCTACAGATTAAGACCAGATGATTTCTGCCTTCATGGATATTCAAGCCACAGCAGAAAAGGCAGTGATAGTCTGGCATCTGGTGATCAGTATATTTCTTGCACTGTATAACCTTAACTACATTAGCAAATATGTAGCCATCAAGACAGCATTGAGGTGACTTATGAGGCAGTTCCCTATGATCCAAAGGTTTTGGAAGGAAAGGATGGTACGATGAATACTTTCAATGTAATTTGAGTCAAGCTCCAGAAACATCAACTGGAATATATTGGTCTTACTAGGGTTGGCATCTGAGGGGCAATAATTTTTTGATTAATGGGAATAGGGAAGGAAGCAAGCAGAGATTAGGAGATACTCAAATGCTTTCTCCTAAAAATGTCAATATGTTTGGAGAGGGTATTCAAAACTTTGTCATTTGAGAAAGATATTTATGATCTAGTTTTTAACTTTGTCTACTTTAGTTTTAGCTTCACACTTTAGCCCCCAGCAACACTGAAATAAACTGCTGGCTCTTTCTTGAACAAACCACACTAAAATTCATCTCTTGGCCTTTACTAATACTGTTTTCTCTACCAGAAACTTCCTATTTCCTCCTTGCCTAGCTTAATTCTTCCCATTTCCTAAGATATGGCTCAGATGGCATCTGTTCCAGGTAATGTTAAGTGATCATCTAACTCCTATTTGCACAGGTCAGTCTTCTGTGTTTTTGTAGATTTTCATGCTTACTTATGTCATATACTGCGTTATTTTGTAGTTCTCTATTTCTGAGTCTATCTTCCCTTCAAAGTGAGCTTGTAGAAGCCAGGAACTCTGTAGTATTCATCTCTGTTTCTTTGGTGCCTTGTCTGGCACACAGTATTGGCAATAAATATTTGATGAATGAATGAACCGAAAAACAAACCTACTGAGAATGTTTGTGCCCTAACGCTAATACTCAAAAATGACACAGCAGAAGTCCACACTGTGTTAAGGAATACAATATAGAAGTAGAAGCCATTTTGCTCTGTGTGGCTACAGAAAAAATAGAAAGCTCAGGCATTTAAATTTTGGCTCAGCTGAAGGATAAATGATGAGACATTACTGTTCAAATTGGGGATGCACTCCTTTGGAAGAGATGGAAGGCCCTTCACTCAAGGGGTAGCTGGCTAGGCACTGGGCATGAGGGACCCCAGTATCTATTAAGAGGTTAAAGTGGATGACTTTAAACAATTTTTGGGAGAGTCTGGCTAAACATATGAAAACTACTCTTGCTAACAGAGGAAAAGAAATGCCTTAGGAATCTTTAGTGGGGGAAGTAGGTCACTGTAGCATTTTTAAAACTTATTCTGTGAATCAACATATCTTTGAAGTGATAATTTTGATAACTGGCTAGCAACATTTAATCATTGTTTTTAGAATTGACTAAAATATGCAGAAAATGGTGGCTCTGGCATTTCCTAATATACATTCGGGGGAGGGGGGCTCTGAGGAAAAGAAAGAATAGATTAGGGAATCCACAATGGAAAGAAGTAAGTAGAGATAGTGTTATTTGCCCTGTGTTTCTGATCCCAAAGGATTCCTGAAAGCTTTTGTGTTTCAATAAAAATCAGTTTGCCAGCTGGGTCTGGCCAGTCACCATGGTTCTTTAGTAGAGGTTCATCTGATTTCATCTAAAGAAATGATTTAAAGTCCTTTCCCACCTCCACTTATTATTCTCTCCCAGCCTTCCCTTTTAGTTCTTTGCTACCCGCCAGCAGCATTTAGTGGAGACAGGGACAGATGAAAAAGCATCAGTGAAATTGTTGCCTGCTGCTCTCCACGGCTGAATCACTTCAGTCCCTTGACAGCCATCCAGAGCCTGCCAGCTGCAGGGACAGATCTCAGTTCTTCTCTCCTCTGAACAGTGATCTCTCCATGTGAACAGGAAGACCCCTGGTTGATAGTTTTAGATCCTGAAAATTGTGACTAATTAACTGTGTGTTGATCCTTGACACAGCCCATGGAGACTTTGAGGTACCATGCTGATAAGGGCAGCCCCTGTACAGGTTCTGGGTGGGCTGCTCTGTCCTTGCAGTTGGACATATTCCATGACTGATGAATGTCACTGGCATGGACCATTCTTTCTTCTGGTTCCTAACCCTCCACATTTGTTGCTTCTCCCCTAGAAGCATAAGCCCACTGCCCAGAAAAATGGCACTTTCTGTCTCACATGCTACATACCAAATCCTCTCAAAAAGAATCAGCAAAAAGAAAGACACTTTACCATCTAATTGATGGTTGCTTATGCTTTAGATACAATGTCCCCAGGAAAACTCCTCTTTTATTAAAAGTTTATTCCCCAAGTGAAAATTACTCCCAAAATGGGGTTATAAAAGCATGAGAAAAATAGTGATATCAGAATTACATGTATTTATATAATGTTCTACTGACAAAGAATTTTTTTGATTTTTAGAATTTAAGTTCTACCTAAAAATACTGTTTCATATATAATTCAATTCTAGGAATTTATCCTAAAGATATTATCAGACATGAATGCAAAGATTTGTGTTCAAAGATTTGTTGCAGCTTCATTTTTCTAATAAAAAGAAAGAAAAACAAACATGTATAAAAAGGAAAAAAGGTTAAAAATGCTGTGGTGCATCAATCTGAATGTTGGGATATTTTGTAGTCATTAAAATTGTAGTGCTATTAATAACAATGGAAAATATTTATTATGTAAATGTGAGAGAAAAAAGTATATGGAATTTTAGCTACAGTATGATTGCCACTGAAAATAATCAAAGAAAAATGACTTATTTTTAACAAAATTATTTTTAATTTATAATAGTAAAATTGCTTAAGTAATTTAGGCTGTCTAAGAAGGGGACTTTTACAAAAATTTTAAAGTCTCTAGTAAAATACTAAAAATTTCCTCCAAGGAACTAACATTTATTGTGTGTTTATTCTTTGGTAAACAGTGATCTAGGTTTCTTATAACTCCCTATCTGGTAGATAGTATTATCCTCTTGTCATGTATTAAAAACAAAAACAAACAATAAGCAAACAAAAAATACTGAGGCTGAGAAGAGTGAAATATGATTTCAGATTCAAAACCAGATTTTTTAGGTTCTAAATGCTGTTTTCTTTCCATTATATCACATTTTCTCTTCTCATCAAAAAATAATTTGATAATAAGGAAATAATAAAAATTTT